CTTCCCACATCTGTCTCCTGCACCCCCTTTCCTCAGCCCCCTTTTCCTCAGCCCTTTTCCTGCAGCCCCCTTCCTGCAGCCCCCTCCTGTGCCTCTCCCAGCCTCACTCCAGGGCTTTAGCCCCCTTGCAGCCCACAGTTTAGCCACCCATCCATCCATCCATCCATCCATCCATCCATCCATCCATCCATCCGTTCCAGGCTGCCCCTGCTCCACATGCTCCCGTTCCCCTCTGGCCCCACTTCCTTTGCCTCTGGGATTTTCCCTCCTGCTTCTTCCCTCCAGAGCCTCACTGGCACCAGCTCCTTCTTGCCCCCAGGATCTTTCTGTTCTGGTCCAGTCAAGCTGGAGCTGGGATTTTCCCTCCTGCTTCCTCCAGAGCCTCACTGGCTCCAGCTCCTTCCTGCTCCCATCTTTCCACCCCGCTCCAGTCCAGCTGGAGCTGCTCCTGCCAAAGGGCTGGGCCGGGGGCCTGAGGACATCACAGCCCCCACGGCACTTTCTAGGATGAAGCAGCTGGTCCTCGGAGCGTGGGCAGGGGGCTGTGGTTATCCAGGGGGTCCCACAACGTCCCTGACGGGTGGCAGGAACACAGCAGGGAGGATTCACCAGTTGCCAGCGTCCCTTGCTTCTGGCGGGTGTTGGGCTCCCTCCCCCCTATCCCACCCCCCCAGGAGTTATCCCAGGTGCTCTGTGCCTCCTCGGCAATCCCTCCCTCGGCATCTAGGTGGCGAGGGGTTCCCGGAGACCCCCAAACGCTCCGGTCCTGCCGGGTGCCGGTACCTTGACGGCGAAGGCGAGCGCCACGAAGCCCAGGCAGCAGAAATTCATGTAGAGGGTGTTGAAGATGGCCCAGACGAGGTGGTCGCGGGGCGGGGGGGCGGCGGGGGGTGGTCCCCGCTTGCGGGGCGGCTCGTCCTCCCGCGGGTACGAGGTGTCCATGGCCACGGAGAGGGGCACCCGCGGCTCCAGCAGCCTGAGGGGAGCACGGCTGGGCACCTCTTATATAGCCCTGCCCCGCTAAATATAAACCTGGGAAATTACAGCTCTGCGGGATGCGGTTCTCCAACAGGCTGGGCTGGGAGCTGGGAGAAGCGCTGGGATGGCGAGCCTGGGAAAGCTTTTTATAGCCAGCTTTCCCGCCGGGGATGAGGGGCACGGATGGCTCCAGCGTGGGCAGTGCCGTGAGCTGACTCCAACACCGTCTGAGGTCATCCCAAGACAGACCCCCCGGTACCAGGACCCCCGCGGCGCTGGCTGGCACCGGGACCTCCAGCCCCAACCCTCCAGGTGAGCTGGGCAGGGCAGACCCCTCCTTGGCAGCACCTTTGGGCTACGGGAGGGATGAAATGGCAGGTTAATAGGGAAAGGTGGAAGAGCCGCATCCACGGGGCTCCCTGGCAGTGGGGGGGAGAGGGCGCTGCGGTGGGGGGGGGCAGCCAAAAATCACGGAGGGTCTTTTATTTCCTTCTTTTGCCACACCTGAGATTTTTGGAAAGGAACTTCCTTGGGATCTGGGCTGGAAGCACTCAGTCCTGCGGCGGGATGGAGGCAGGGCAAGGAGGAGGAGGAAGAGGAGGAGGAGAGGAATAAAGAGGAGGAGGGAAGAGAACGAGGAGGGTCCCACGAAGTCGCGCGAGGACCCTCTACTCTGTCCCGTGGCGAATGAGGTGACAACGAGGGGGTTTGGCAGGACGAGCTTTATTGGTGGCAGCAGGGACTGACAGGTGTGTCGCAGGTGCCAGGAAGCGCAAGAGCAGAGAAAAGGAGGGGAGGGGGCTGCCCCCCACACCCCCCGCCCCATCCCCTCCCGCGGCTGTGCGGGGACACCCGGGGGGCAGCAGCGAGGAGACGGGGCTCACTCCCCGAGCCCCCGAGCCCCGAGCGGGCACGTTTGCGGGGCAGGAGGAGGGGGAGAAGCCCCCCGCGGGTGGGGGCCAGGCGGCAGTCAGGGGTTCTCCAGCATGGTGGTCATGAAGATGATGATGATGATGATGATGAAGACCACCAACACGAGGGTTACCAGCACGGAGCAGATGATGTTTGCCACCCTGGCGCGGGAGCCGTGACGCCGGGCACCCTCCAGGTCCCCCAGCAACTTGCAGTCACGGGCCTGGGGGGGGTAAACGGGGGGGCTCAGAATGGGGGGAACTGGTTGGGGGCCCAACCCGGCCCCGGAGGCGGCTGCGGGGTTGTGCTGGGACCCCAGGGATGTGTCACCCGGGGCAGGGGGGGAAGGCGCCGGGCACTGCCTGTTCCTCCACCCGCCCGGCGGTCACGGCACTGGGGGGTGCAGGGTCGAGGGGTGGGACACAGCACTGGGGTCCCAGGGAGGGGTGGAAGTGGGGGGTTGGAGGTGAGAGTGCAGATCAGGGGTCCAGGGCGGGAGATGGAATCTGGGGACCGCGGTGGTGTCAGGGAGGGCTGGGTCGGGGCGGACAGGACTGGAGGGTCCCGAGGTGAGGGAAAGGTCTGAGTCGGGCTGGGTCAGGGGCTCCCGAGTCGGGGAGGGGGTCGGGACATGTCGGGGGGTCCCTGGCTGGGTTGGGGGGTCCTGAGTCGGGGAGAGGGTCGAGACGTGTCGGGCATCCCGAGCTGGGTTGGGTCAGGGCATCCCAAGCCGGGGAGGAGGTCGGGACGTGCCGGGGGTCCCGTGCCGGGCTCCTTCGCGGGGGCCTGGGAGGAGCTGGCTGGGGGTCACTCTGGGTGAGGTGTCCCGGGGCCGATCAGGGCTAGATCCAGGGTGTCGGGTGGGGGTCCCTGGTCGCCCCCCTCACCTTGATGGAGTAGACGAGCGGGGGGAAGCCGAGGCAGCCCAGCCCGGCCACCGCGCACCACAGCACCACGTTGAGCAGCGACCAGAGCACATAGTCCCGGGGCGGCGGGTCCGCCCGGGGACCAGGGGCAGCCGACCCCCAACCGGAGGACTGCAGTGGGATGGACACGTCCGCCTGTCGGGTCTCCATGGCCGGGAATGAGTTCCTGGAACTGGAATGGAGCGCGCCCAGGGCGGGGGATTGGCCCCGCACCGCCCCGCGCGGGGGGGGGGGACACGGCCATCCAGGACCCCCACCCCGCGTGGGCTGGGGGTGCAGAGCAGCTCTGGGGGACCGGGGGGGCTTAAGGGGACTCAAGAGGCTCCGAGGGGAGCCTGGGGGCTCCAGGGGACCCTGCGGGGCTCCAATGGGACTTGAGGACTTTGGGGGGCTTAAAGGGTCTTGGGAGCTCTGAAACGACTCTGAGGAGATTTTAGGGACTCTGAGGGGACTTCAGGGGTCTCCAAGGGAGCTTGGGGACTCTGAAGGGCACTTAGGGGAATCCAGGGGGGCTTGGGAACTTTGGGGCGATTCAAAGAGACTTTGGGGACTCCAAGGGAACTCTGTGGGACCTTATGGACTCCAAGGGGACTCAAGGGGGCTTTGGGGACTCCAAGGTGATTTGAGGGGACTTTGTGAACCCCAAGGGGATTTGAGGGGACTCTGGGGACTCCAAGTGGAGTCCATAGGACTTTGGGGTTGGAGTGGACAGACTGGAGGGAGCTCTCCATGGCAGCCCAGTGTGGTCACGGGCTGGAAGAAGGTTTTGCTGGTGGCTGGTTTGGACTGGGAAGGGGTCAATTTTTTCCGCTTTGGTTTGTATGGGGCTGCACTTTGGATTTGTGCTGGAAGCTGTTGATAAAAACAGGGAGCAGGAGGAAGAGGGGGTCTCAGAGTAGTGGCCTTCGTTGTCCCAATTCCCCATTGGATGTGCTGGGATTTGGGCAGGCCAAGGGTGGGGCCAGGCAGGCAGCACATCCCCGTTTGCAGCAAGGAGCCCGTGTTTTCCGGGAAGAAACGGAGCAAAAAAATGATTCACTGGGCTCTCAGTGCCAGGGATCCTGCAACAAATACCCGCTGTGTCTGTGGAGTGGGATTTCTGACATCTTACGAATGCGGTGTCCTGCCAGGAACCCGAAGCTCTCGGGGAGAGGGAAAAACAGGGTTTTGTTCCCATCCTTGCGGGGCCCCAACCCCGAGGACCAGGGCCTGCCGAGGGGAGGGCGAGGAGCACGGAGGGGAAGGGGGAAGCCAGGACAGCTGCGTAGCCGAAGCTCTGCCAGGTGGACTCGGGCCAGGATTTTCCGCGGTCACTCCGGACGGGGCCGGGGCCGGGCAGGGAGCGGCACGTGCGGCGGCCGGAGGCGCGAGGATCGCTGCCCCGGATCGCTGCCCGCTGCCCTGCCAGCTCTCCCGGCGAGGGGACAGGGACGGCTGGCGCTCCGTGTGGCTTCCACAGAGCACAGCTTCCTTCCCCCCCCACCTCCACCGCAGGATGTGGCTTCCACCAAGCACGGCTCCCTTCCCTCCCCCCCTCACCCCCCCACGCAGGATGGGGAGAGTGATTGTGAGGAAATTCGTGTGCTGAGGTGAAACAACGAAACCAAAAGCCGTGCACGCCAGCAAGACACATCATTTGTTCCCCCTTCCTCATGGCAGCTGTTCCCAGGGCAGCCGGGCTGTCTCTATCTGTGAACCTTACCAGTATCCCAAACCACCGAGGAATCCAGCCCCGGGAGATGTGCAGCACGGCCACTCGGGATGGAGCCACAGCACCCACCACCCCCTTCCCTCCGGGAGCCTCTCCAGCCTTGCTGTCCTGCACAGTCACATTCCAGCTCATCCCGCTCGTGCCCTTTGCACATCCTGCCTCCCCCAGTCCAGCTAATCCTCGGCTCTGCTTTCTCCCAGCCCTCCCTGAGGGCCGGTGAGGGCGAGGGTGCTCTGGGTGACACCCTGGCACAGGTGAGGTTCTCCTCCCGTCCTCGGGGTGACCCTGTGGGTGCAGCATCTGCATTCATGGAGCCGGGTGTGTCCCTGAGCATTGTTTCTGCGATTAGAGACAATTTCCCTCCCCGCCCCCCCAGGCACCTCCAGCTGCCGATGTTGTTTCTTAACCAGCCACCCTGCGGTGGGGGGGGGGACCCTGAACCTCTTCCTGCCGAAATAAAACCGAGCCGGGGCAAAAGTGAAAGAAATCTTTATTTGAACCAGGTTTTCTCCAAACAAAGTGCTTCTCCCGGGGATTGTTTCGGGTCAGCTGGGGCTCCAAACCCAGAGCAAAGCAGCAAGCAGGTCACGGCCGTTTTGGGGGTGCTCGGCTCCCACCTGAGGAAGGGTGTCGGTCCCCGGGCGCTTCCAGCATCAGCAAGGGCTCAACAACAGCTTTGGGCAGCGAGGAAAGCGGGACAGGACCCCGGCGGGTCCCAGGGGGCACCCCCTGGCGCTGAGGGGTGAGTGGAGCTCCTGGCAGGCACTGGGGGAACTCGCTGCCAGTGGAGCGAGGAGGTGCTAAGTGGGCTAGCCGCGGCCGTAATTGCCGTAGTTATCGCTGTAGCTGTTTGGGTTGTAGCGGCTCGCCGCGCTGAACACCACGGCGAGGACGATGATGACGATGACGACGGCGGTGATGTTGAGCACCAGGGCCGTGATGTTCAGGCACTTGGCCGTGGAGCCGTAGCTCAGGGCCCCGCTGCGGTCACCCAGCACTTTGCGGTCCCTGGACTGTGGGGAGGCAGAGGGGAGAGTCAGTGGGGTCGGAAGGGGGTGGCCCCGGGGGGCTCAAGGCTGCAGGCAGGTGTGGGAGGTGCTGGAGGTTGCCACCCTGGGCTGAATCCCCCCAAACCACCAGGGGTACTCCAGGACGCTGTGGGGCCAGGGCTCCATGGAGAGGGGGCTCTGTGGGGTCCACGGGGGCTCTGTGGGGCCAGGAGTCCATGGAGAGGGAGGCTCTGTAGGGTCCACAGGGCACCCTCTGGTCTGGGGCTTGTGGGGTCCACTGGACACCCCCGAACTGAAGCTTTGTGAGGTCCGTGGCTCTCCCTGGGGTCAGGTATTCTGTGGGCTCAATGGGGGCTCTGTGGGGGTCCCCGCGGCTTCCCCCAACCCCCCAGCCTTCCCCCCCACCCCGAGTGCCCCACCTTGACGGAGAAGAAGAACGCCAGGAACCCGAGGCAGCAGATGTTGCCGTACAGGGTGGTGAAGAGGGACCAGACCAGGTGGTCTCGGGGGGGCGGCTGCTCCTCCTCCACCGTCACCGCCGTGGTCGTGGTCGTCCGGGGCAGCTCGTCCATGTTCATCCCCGTCGGCAGCACCTCGTAGGGCGGCAGCGTCTGCTCCATCCCGAGGCTCTTCATGCGCACCGGCGGCAGCGGCACAGGGAAAACGGCGTGGTCGAGGAAGGAGGTGGCACGGGGAGTGGGGGGCGGTCTCGCCGACGGCTGTTTCGTTTCCTCAAGACTGAGGATGGGGCGGGAAAAGGCCGCCCCTCCGGACGTCCCGGTAAGGGCGGGAAAAACCCTGGACCCGTTTTCCTCGTCCCCTCCTTTATCCCTTTTTCTGTACCTGTTTCCTTGTCCCCTTCTTTATGCCTTTCTTTACCCCTTTCCCCTCTCCTTTCTTTGCCCCTTCGTTTGCCCCCCTCTTTCCTTGTCTTCATCTCTACCTGTTCTTTGCCCCCTTTTCACTTTACCCTGTTCTTTCCCTTTTCTTTCTTTGTCCTCTTCCTTTCCTGTCCCTTTCCTTGTCCCCTTTTTTGACCCCTTTCCTTGTCCCCTTTCCTTCTGTCCAACCTTTACCCCATTCTTTTCCCTGTCTTTTTCCCCTCCCCTGCATTCTTAGTTGTCCTCTTCTTCCCTTGGCCCCTTCTTTACCCCCTTTTTTGCTCGCTTTTTCCTCCCCCCTTCTTTCTTTACCCCATTCTTTCCCCTTCTTTCTGTACCCCCTTCTTTGCTCCTCCTCTTTCCTTGGCCCTATTTTGTCCTTGTCCTCCCCCAGGTGGCCACCTGGGGACAACTGTGAGCGTTTTGGGGTGCGTGAAGAACAGATCCTAAATAGGGTCCCCTCCGCACGGCGCCGCCCCCCCCCCCTCTGGCACCCCCAACCGCCCGCTGCCACAGTTTGGATTCTTGGGATGCAGCTCCATGGCCCCTGGAGTGTCCTCTTACTGAAATCCCCCTCCCCAACTGTTGCACCAACAGCCTTTACGGTGTGAGAGTGTTTGAACTGTGTTAATGCGCCCGAATCCGCCGGATACGCCGTCCTGTAAGGAGGCAGTAACATTTTTCTGGCAAGTCCGGGAATGTTTGTGCTTAAATAAACCAAACAAGGACAGCCCGGTCCTGGAAACAGGGATTTGGTTTCTGAGAAGCGCAGCCCAGGGCTGCCCTCTAGTTTTCCCAGCCGTGAGTGTATTTTTCCCCGTAATAACTGATTACAGCGAGGAGGAGCCGCTGCCTCAGCCTGTGGAACGGGAGAGGAGGGGGAAAATTCCATTGTTTTCACCGCTGCGCTGCGGAGGGAAGAACCAGTCCGCACATCGGTGCAGTGAGTTGTGGCCGGTCTCAGCTCGGCCGAGCACAGGCGGCTGGGGTGCACGGGGCTGTGACCCCCGGGGTCTCCGCATCCCGCGAGGGGGATCCTGGGGATCCCGGCACCCATGGAATCCCCGCATCCAGCGAGGGGGATCCCGGCGATCCCAGCACCCATGGAATCCCCGCATCCAGCGAGGGGGATCATGGGGGTCCCAGCACCATGGAATCCCCGCATCCAGCGAGGGGGATCATGGGGGTCCCAGCACCCAGTGTAGAGGATCCTGGGGATTCCGCTCCCAGCGGGATCCCCGCGCCCAGCGGGGGGGGGGCTGATCTGAGATACCCCCGCACCCCATCCCGTGGGATCTCGCATCCAGCGGGGGGGCCTGATCAAGGTATCCCCGCACTCCATCCCGAAGGATCCCCGTCGGATCCCCGCACCCATCAAGGGCGCTCATCTGAGGTATCCCCGTACCCCATCCCGCGGGATCCCCGCACCCATCGAGGGGGCTGATCCGGGGTATTCCCGCACCCCATCCCGCGGGATCCCCGCATCCAGCGGGGGGCCTGATCCGAGGTATTCTCGCACCTCATCCCGCGGTATCCCCACACCCATCAAGGGGGCTTATCCAGGGTATCCCCGCACCCCTCGAGGGGGCTGATCCGAGGTATCCCCGCACCCCGTCCCGTGGGATCGATCCCGCAGCCATCGAGGGGGCTGATCCGAGGTATCCCCGCACCCCGTCCCGTGGGATCGATCCCGCACCCCTCGAGGGGGCTGATCCGAGGTATCCCCGCACCCCATCCCGTGGGATCCCGCACCCCTCGAGGGGGCTGATCCGGGGTATCCCCGCACCCCATCCCGTGGGATCCCGCATCCAGCGGCAGATCCCGCACTGGCGAGCGGGAATCGCGCCCTCCCGTGGACAGGGCCGGGCACTGCAGCCTCCGCCGCCGCCGCCGGGGAACGCACCATCCCCGCTGCGGGGGGGGGTAGGGCTCGGGGGGCGGCCCCGCCGAAGCCCCGCGTCGCCAATCGCGCCGACCCCTCCGGCCCCGCGGCACGGAGATCCCTTTCGCTTCCGCCTCGCCGCCGCGCAGGGCCGAGGGCAGAACCGTGAGCGGGGCCGGGACACGCGGTCCCGGGGTGCACGATCCCCGCCCCCCCCCGCGCGCCCCGCATGGCCCGGCCCGCGGCGCCCCGGGGGGCTGCCGCCCGTTGGCGTGGAGACGCGCGGCGCCTCCGCAGGCCCCGCCCCCGCGGGGCGCCCATTGGCGGCGGGCCCGCGACGGGGCGCGGCGATTGGCCGGCGGCGCCGCCGCTCGGTTGCCGGGGGCGTGGCCTCGCGGCGCCCCGCTCCATTCATTCCCCCCGCGGGCGCGGCGATGCACGGCCGGGCCCGGGGCCGCCGAGCCCCGCACCGACCCCCGGCCCCGGCACCCGCAGCCGCCCCGCGGCCCTCGCGGCCCGCCCGGAGCGCGCGCGCTGGGCGGGCGGGGGGCCCCATGGGCCGGGGTTAGCCCGGCGGCGGCGGCGGCGGGGGCGATGCGGGCGGCAGGATGCCGCGGCTCCCGGTGAAGAAGCTCCGCAAGCAGCTGAAGCTGCTGCTGCTGCTGGCGCTGCTCACCTCGGCCGCCTGGTTCACCTACCTGCACATCAGCCTGGTGCGCCAGGGCCGCGCCCTGCGCCTCCCCTTCGCCTACGGCAGAGGTAACGGGAGGGTCCCCGCGCCCCGGGGGGCTCTCGGAGCGGGGGCTCGGGGGGGGGCTCGGGGGTCCCCAAGGGGCGGTGGGTGCCCCCAGCCACACTGGGCTCTCAGAGCACTTTGGGCTTGAAGGTCCCCAAGGGTTGGTGGGGGTCCCCCAGCACACTGAGCTCACAGAGCGCTTGGGGTTTGGGGGCCCTCCCCAAAGGCTGGTGGGATCCCCCGCCTCGCCGGGCTCCCAGAGCACCCCCTCAAGACTGGGACGCCCCGTTCCCAGCGCTGCCTTAATGTCCCGCATCACCCGGGTGGGTTTGGGGTGAGCGGGACCCCTCCGTGGCCTCCGAGCCCCGGCACTGCACCTTCGGGAGAAGAGGAGACCCAGGAGGGCCCCCAAACCGGCCGGGGGGTTCATTGTCCCCCCTCGAGCGGCTCCGTCCTCATTTTTCCACCCGCTGCCTTGGCTGCGATGACAAAGAGGCCATTTATAGCCGCTCGTCGCTGCTGGAAGGGGTAATCCCTTCCTTCCAAACGTTCCCATCCCTTTCCAACCCTCCCCATCCCATCCCAACACTTTTTCAGCCGGTGCTTCTCTACTGTAAAAAAAAAAATAAAAATAATTCCTTCCTCCTCCCACCCTTGGCCAGTGCCGGGATGGATTCCGGGATGCTCCGCAGGGATGAGCCGGAGGGGCAGGTGCCCCACGGTTCGGCTTCGTGCCCAACTGCTCCCGGGTTTTCCCCTCGCAGACCCCCGGGGGCTGCTCGGGAAGCACAAAGCGGCGGGGAATATTTGCCCGGCGAAACTTAAGCCGTAGCGTTCCTGGTGGGACTGACCTCGCCCAGCCCGTTTTGCCCTAAAAAAAATGGGAAGGAAACGGGGTTTAGCGGCTATTGAGGGAGGAAAAGGCTTTTCCCGAGTGGGTCGGAGCGGCCCCCGGGGGCTGGCGAAGCCTCTCGGCTGGAAACCCCAAAGTTTCCGACCGGAGCGGGAGGATGATCCTGCAAATTTTCGGGCCTTTGTGGTAAAATCGGGAAATCGGGATAATGCGAACGAGCGAGGCAGGAAATGAGGCGGCTGAACGTCGCCTCCGAGGGAGGGGGGGGCACCGGGGGCTGCCGGGTCCGGGCTCCCCGCGGGGTCCTCCTTGGTGGGAAAGGGGCAGAGTGTGCCCCGTGTGCCTGCGGCTGTCCCCGAGGGGTTGTCCCGTTATCCCAGACCCGTGTTCCCGCTGTTATCCCTGCGGCTGTGCCCGAGGGCTTGTCCCTGGGGGCTGCCCTGTGTTCCCGTTATCTCCGAGCCACTGCTCTGTGTTCCCAGTTATCCAGAGGGGCTGTCCCCAAGCTGCTACCCCGCGTCCCTGTGGTTATCCCATGTCCCCAGTGTTTGGAAGGGCCGTGTCTGGCCTCTTGTCGGGATCAGCAGCCTCGGGTGGGTGAGTGGGAAATGGCATGGAATCGCCATCCCTGTGGATGGCTAGCTGGGAAAACCATGGATCGGGGTCCCTCCGGATGTCGGGGTGCAGCGGCACGAGGGTGAGCCGGGCTCTTCCTGCAGGGAGGATGCACAGCAGTGCCGTGTGCCGGGGTGTTTGCAGGTGCCGAACCTGGCAGGTGCCTATCCTTGCTCTCCCCACCTCCTCCCTACGCGTCCTGCATCCCAGCCCGCCCCTCGGGATGCTCCAAGGGGAAGCCACGGGGTTTGCTGTGGAAGCGAGGAGATGCCCGGCCCCAGCTCTGGCTCCGGGGGAGAGCAGGGTCTGTGGGAGGTGGGGAGGGAGATGGGAAGGTGCCCGTAGGACGAGGATGGCACAGGGGGATCCTGGCTTGGGAAATGCCAGGTGCTCCAGCAGCGTTTGCCACGGGCCTGGTGATGGCTCTGGGCTGCCGTGTGCCATGGGGAACACGGGCACCTTCCCTAGCTGGGCTGTGGAGAGGTGGGTGATTCCCCAGGGAAAGCTGGGCCTCGCCAGGGCTGGACCCAGCTGTCTGGGACAGGACTCCAGGGAAACGCTGCTCCTTGCACTGGGATTTTCCAGTGGGTGCCTGAAACCAGGGTGAAGGTGTGGCAAAGCCAGAGCTCCGGTCCCACTGAGCCTCCTTGGACACGAGGTGATGGAAAGGGGTCGAGTGGAGGCTGGGGAAGGGTTTAGCCATGCACAGAGGCACCCTCATCCTGCTGCTGCCGGGGAGGGAGAGCCAGGGAGTGGTTTAGTTGGAAAAATGTCAAATGGAGTGGAAAAAAAAAAAAGGAGGAATAACAGATATAACTGAGGGGGGGTGGAAAACAGAGAAAGCTTGGTGCAAGGGTTTAAGGGTGAGTTTTGGGGGAGAGCATCACCCCAAGGGTCTGTGCCCCAAAAGGAGTTTGGAGATGACTTTTGGATTTGGCCACTGTGAGCCAGGGCTTGTCTGTGCCGGGGGTGCTGCCTGGTTAATTACGAAGGAAAAAGGTTAATTACTCATTAAAGTGAGTGTCAGCGAGCAGCTGGACGCTCTGGAAGCTGCAGGTGCAGGGCACGAGGCTTTTAGGTGGCTCGGGGGGGGGTGTAAAGAGGGGAAGATCCAGCCAAGTGGGGTTGGGAGCACAACGAAGGCACAGGGGGGATTATCCCGGGGGGATTATCCCGGGGGTCTCCGTGTCCCCTCAGCCCAGCCGGTGGTGACACGTGGAGCTGGAGCATCCAGGGGCTCAGCTGGGAGCTGTGCTGGTCCCTGCTAAAGCACCTCCCTCCTTCCCTGATCTTCTCCAAGCAGATAATTACCCTCCTCTGCCTAATTGAACACACGGATTCCTCATCGGAAATAATGAGGCCATTACGGTGCTCTCCCGGCTGGAAACCGCTCCCAGCCAACGGGGTGGAAACGCTGGTGCACCAGGTGGAAAGGGGAGGAAAAAGGATTGGGGAAAAAAAAAGACAGAAGAAGAAGGGAAAAAAATTATAACGAAACCCTAAAGTGGCTCTTAGTGTGGGGGTGTGGGGCTGGGATTCAGCAAGGGGGGATGGGGGGGTGTTGGCGGTGCTGGAGCTGGGTTTTGGGAGGATTTTGGCATTGAGGGAGCATAGGATGGGTGCTGAGGGTGCTGGAGCCAGTTTGTGGATGAAACGGGGCTGTCTGGGGAGGAAAACCCAGCCAGGCGTCTCTCTACCTGCTGGATATGGCATGATCTGGGGCCGGGGAAGTGGGAACAGGGATACCCCTCTGCCGTGGTCCAGAGGGCTCCCAAAACTCCTGATCCCCAGGCAGTGATGGGATGGATGCTCTGTGCCCTGTCCTCAAGGGACCCGTTCTTGGGGTTGCCACACACAGGGAAAGCGAGAGGGAGAAGGTTTGGGGTGACACTCAGGTGTCTCTCCCCAAGCTGTGGGGGGAAAACGTGTCCCTTTGGGATCTGTCTTGGCAGATCCTTTGATTTTAATTGGGAGTTTGGAGCGCTACAATCTGCCGTGGGGTTCATTCCTTTGTCTGGGATGCTGGGAGCAGGTAGGGAAGGAAGAGGATGAGAAGTGCCCTTTGAAGAGGGAGGGCAGCGGAGTTTGTGGGGCAGCTGCTTTCCTTTCTCCTGGCATTGCCCCACTCTCCTATCCCTGTTGGGAAAGGCTGTTTGCCCTGGCTGGACCTGCCTTGGCACGGGGTCCCAGTGCCAAGTTAGAAGCCCCTGGGGCTGGTGGAGGTAAACCAGGTGCTGGCTGGAACAGGCTGGAAAGCTGGAAGTGGGATGGAGACCCCACAGGCAATGCAGAGGTCGGAGGCTGGAATGTTGTTGGGATGAAACACACCCTAAAGCTCCCAGCATTTCACAGGGACCTTCTCCAGAGGTGGCATCCCAGGAAGAAAAAATCTTTGTGCTCAGTGCTGTGAGTGAGCATCATCCCTGTTGTTGGGAGGGGGCAGGGTCCCGTGGAAGTTGCTCCAGCTCACTTCGGGGCACTGGAGGGCACTGGATGCACAGTGAAGGAAATGGGGGAGATCTGGGGGTTTTCGATGCCCAGGAGGGATTTGGGACCCTGAGCCAAGCGTGGAAGCGTCGGGGCCACCTCTCCTGGCAGGTGTTTGTCAGCCTGAGGGGTCTTATGGCAGCTCCTTTGCCAGCCAGAGCAATTCCACATGAATTTCCATCGCTCCAGCTGAGAGGGCTGTCATGGAGCGGGCAGCACCTCTGGCAGCTCCATGATTTCTTCCTGGTGGGCAGCACCGTGTTTTTGTGGCACTGGAAGGGGGGTTTGTGATATTGATTCCTTGCTGGCTAATTATAGTCACTTAATATCTAGTTAGGAGGTTTGTGCGGGGATGCTCCCGCTCCGAGGCTGTGCCTGCGCCGGAAAAATTTTGGGAATGAAACCTGTGGGTTCCCCAAAGGCGCTGCCACTCCTGCCACCTCTGCTGCAGCTGTGTCTGGGGGTAAATGTCACCTCGCTCCCCGTCGCAGGGCTTGGAAAGGGGCCAGGAGAAACCCCGGCTCCGAAAGCTGATGGAAGAAAGGGGCTGTGTTTTCGGGGCTGGGGAGGAGGAGGAGGAGGAGGAGGTGGGAGGCAGGAGGTGGGGTGTGAAAGGCTCTCTGTGCTTCCCGGCGCAGCACAGGCGGTTTGGAGCTGGGTTATGGGGCTGCGGTGACGGGGAGTCGCTTCTGCCCTGGGAGGCATCTCCCATGTGGGTCCCTCACGGCCGTGGCCTCATCCCAAGGATGAGCATCCTGGCCCTGGCTCCCTGTCTGGAGGCTGCTGTGACTCAGAGATGGTTCGTGCGATGGTCTGTGCCTCCTGCCCCCTCCTTGCTGCTCCCAAAGCATCAGCGTCGCTCCAGGGAAGGGCTTTTAGTGCTTCCATTCTCTCCCTGAGCATCTCCATCCTGCAGCCAGCGGGTCCCTGCTCGTCCTCAGACCTTCCCCCGTCCCTTGCCTGTCCTTTCTGGTCCCTGAGGGAGCCTGGCCGAGGGAATGGATGCAGCAGTGCTCCTGTGCATTCCTGTGGGATGCTGGGTACGGCTCATGGGCTGTGAGGATGCTGGGAGGAACTGGAACACTTCCAGTTCCTTGCCTTCTTCCTCCTCCTCCCCCTGGCCCACTCCTCCTGCAGGGCTGTGGTTCAGACCAAAGGGACTCTGGTTTTTTGAGAGCTCGTTGGCACAAGGTGCTGCCCTTCCCCACCCCTTATCCCAATGGCACTGCTTCCCTGGTTCCCAGTTCCCCGCAGCCTGACCAGCAGTTGGGTGTTTGACTCAAGCCGCCCTTCACTTTCCTGTTTGATGCTTAAATTGCCAGGGAATGAAGGTTGGCATGGAAGCCTGGAAGCTTTTCCAGGGGCTTTGCTGGTGCTTTCGCTCCTCCCGGGATGTGGGAGCCCCTCAGAAGGGATGGGGGCTGAGCAGGGGGCTTTGGGTCCAAGGATGAGCCTGCCCAGCCTGGATTACCTCGTGGCTTTTCCCCCCTTTGCTCTAGTTTATATCCAACAATCTTCCCCCAGTTCTCTCCTCCAGTGCCTTGCAACTGGGCCCAGTCCCAGCACGGTGCCTGGAGGAGAATGAGGTGAGGTGGCCACATCCAGGCATCCCTGTGGATGCAGCCAGGGATGGTGCTGGCAAATCCCACGGGAGACAGGCTTATCTCCTCCAAGGCTGGGAGAGACTCCCCTGTGTGGGTACCACAGAGCCAGGGCTGCCATCCCACCCCCGGGCAGGTCCCTTGGGAGCGTTGAACTCCTCGTGGCCGTGATTAATCCACAGAGCAGCACGGGGGGAATGATGTCGGTGGAGCAGCAGCATCTTCAGCCTCGGCACAGCCAGGGATCGGCTTTAATTCCACTGCCTGTGGCGGCAGGAGCATCCTAGGAGTGATGGGGAGTCTGGGATGGAGGAGATGAGTGCTGGCTCCAGTCCTGCCTGCTCCCCATCACCCTCCTCGCGGAGGGAGGAAGGATGCAGGGATGGAGCTCGGTGAGGGGAGGGAGCTGCCAGGAGCTGGTCGGGGCTGCCAGCGGCTGAAGAATGGCCGAGAGCAGAAGAAGGGGCTTTAGAGCTTAATTTCCTGTCCCTGCCGTGGGGATGGGATTTGTGCTGCCATCTCCAAGGAGACGCCGGCTGTGCAGCCACTGGAATACTAATGGCGTGGGAGGCGTGTGGTGGGGGGCTCCGGGCGTTCCGAGCCCCTCCTCGGCTGTGGCAGCTGCTGAGGCTGTTCCAGTCTGAGAGGTGGGAGGCCCCACGACTTGCTGATGGGGGGAAGGAGGGTGTGGAGGGATGGGGACGTCGCACCAGGCCCTTGGGAGGGGGTCGGTGACCCCTTTTCTGCGATGCCCATGGCTGGGGTCACTGCTCGGTGCATCCGGGGCTCCCCCTCATTGCCATATGGGGGTGGCTGGTTTTTGGCGGGGCTCACAGGTGCTTGTGGCGGTGGCTTTGGGACAGCCACCTCTCTGAGCATTGGCTGGAGCTTCCCTCTCTTGCGGGTTGAACCCTGGGGCCGGGCCGTGCGCCGGCAGCGCTGGTTGAACTGCCGTCCCACCGGGTTTTGGGGCGGCGGACAAAGAGGACGTGCCCTCCCCCCCCCAAATAACTAATGTCTTTTCCAAGTCTGCACCATTGTTTTGGGGGGAGGGGGGTGGTTTAAAATTCCCTGCCCAAGGAAAGGGGGCGGGAGCTGCGGAGGGCGGTCAGAGGTTGGGGATAATCAGCACAGCGCACGGTGACAAAGCCGCCGGGGCTGGGAGAGAGGGCTCGGCGTTAACGCGGTGCTGGGGGGGAAGGTGGTTTGGGGGGATCATGTCTGGGGGTTCGGGGCCGGTGTGCTCTGGGCAGAGCTGTGGGATGCTGCGGGAGAGCTGGGGGCTGGAGGGGCAGGGAGCTGGGATGCATCCCTGAGGATGGATGGGGAGTGAGACCCTCGGGAGCGTATCCCGGCATCTCTTAACGTAAAGGACCGGGGGTGTAATTAAACCTGCTGCTGCTGCTGAGCTGCTGCAAAGCTGCTTAGTGCAAATGTAATGAGGAGAATCGCAGCCAGAGCCCCCCCAGCGTCACCCCCCTTTCCGTGTCCCGGTCCCCTGGGAGCAGCGGGCGGTGCCAGCGCCTGCCCTTCCCGGCGCCAGGGAGAGGGGTGTCCCCGAGAGAGGAGCGGTGCTGGGGTGGGGGGCCGTGCTCTGACCGCTCCTCTGCTCCCCCCCAGATGGCGAGAGGCCGGGGGAGGTGACGGATCCTGGCAGGAGGCCGGCGGCAGCCCCGGTGCGGCGCAGGAAAGCCGAGGATTCCAGCGAGAGCCGCGAGGAGGATCCGATGGTAACAGGGAGCGGAGCGCAGGGTGGGAGTGGGAATGTGGAGGTCACCGGTCCGAGAGCAGAGTGTTCCAAGCCTTGTCCAGCTGAGGGGATCCGAGGACTGGGAGGGTACAGCCTCTGGTTCTGCCCATCAGCCCTCATGGTGGATAAAACCCCCCAGTATCCCACGGAACTGGGTGGGATATCCCACCATCCCACACCCTGCTCCACGTACCTCTGCCCTGTCACTAGGCTCCCCCTGAGAAGGGTCTGGCTTCGTCTGCTCTGCAATTCCAGCTTTGCTGGGCAAAACCACTTTCTCCTGTGTCCTCTGCTCCATCCCGCCAAGCTCTATCCTGGACTGGGGAGCCCCAGACTGGGCCCAGTACACCCCAAGTGGAGCTTCCAAGCTGAGGCTGGAGGGGGGATCTCTCCTTGCCTACAGCCCAGGAGGCACTTGGAATTGTAGCCACGAAGACACCCTGCTGTCCATTCATCCCCCAACGTGTCACCAAGTCCCTGCCCGACCAGTTGTCACCTAAAGGCCTCAGGGCAGGGCAGCCAGGTGGGATGGTGGGAGGGGAAAGCCATGGGGTGTCCCCTGCCCCATCCCAACTGCTGAGCTGCTGCTCCTCAGAAATGGGGGACAGAGGGACAAAGGGGGAGCCCGAGGTGCCTGGAGGAGGTCCAGGCTGATGCTGGGTGAGGATGGAGGGCGCAGCAGGAATCACATCTCATCTTTTCCTGGGAGGAGGGCGAATCCTTCCAGTGAGCGTGGCACAAAAACCTCCCTCGGAACATTTTCCAAGGGCACCGCTCCCTCCTCCGAGACATCAATGAGTTTATTTAGGCACTTGGCTAATTATTTCCCTGGCTGTAGAAGAGGAGGATGCTCTGGGGGGGCTGAGTAAGAAGAGGATGCTCTGGGTGGGGCTGAGGAAGAGGAGGATGCTCTGGAGGGGCTCCAGAAGTGCCTGGCTCTTCCTTGCCACCTGTCACCCTCTCAGCAAGCTGGGGGTAGGTGAATGCTCACTTAATCCCTCTAAATTACAAGACACAAGCAATGGGATTAACCTAATCCCCTTTAAAGGGAGAGAGGGAGTGGAGAGACATCCTGCTTCCACTGCTCAGGACACAGAGATCACCTCTGCTCTTTTGGAGATGGAGTCCAAAATGTTCCATTTCCAGCAGCCCCTCAGACCAGACAAACATTTTAGATGAACAGAAAACTCGCTGTTTTGGAGAAGTTTCGGCAGAGGAAGGGAAACAAGCAGAGCTGGAGCATTTTGAAACTGCTGCCTGGGACACCTTGCCAATATTTTTGTGCCTCCTCCTGCTTTCCTTTGCTGCGAGCTGTGAAATGTTTCACCTCGGTTTGGCCATGCTCAACATCCAAAGTGAGATGTTTAGATCATAAAATCCCGGAATGGTTTGTGTTGGAAGGGACTTTAGAGCCCATCCAGTTCCACTCCCCTGCTATGGGCAGGGACACCTTCCACTAAACCAGGTTGCTCCATCCAGCCTGGCCTTGGACACTTCCAGGAATGGGGCAGCCACAGATTCTCTGGGCAGCCTGTGCCAGGGCCTCACCACAGATGGTATGGAGACATCCTGCAGCACGGCCAGGCTGGCCCTGATCCCCCATCTCACCTCTCCCCCTGCTTCCTTGGCAGAACGACGGGCAGGATGTGGATGGCTGGTTTTCCAGAGGCCAACGTTCCGACCGAGCCACCACCCACCCCAAACTCAACCTGACCAAGCAAGCTTTGCCCTGGAACGAGCAGGTAGGTGGACAGGGAGCAGCCAAGGGGGTGCTGGAGGAGGGGGAGGGACCCCCTGCTCACCTCCCTCTCTTTTCCCACAGTACAAGGGGAAGGCAAACTTGCACGTCTTCGAGGACTGGTGCGGTGGGGCCGTGAGGCACCTGAGGAAGAACCTCCATTTCCCGCTCTTTCCCCACGTGAGTCCCAGGCCAGGCGATGATGGGTCGGAGGGAGGGGCCCACCCATCCCTCCCTGGCTGCTGCTGGGTCTCCACTGGTCCTCGAGACCTTTGCTTGCGGGGTTTGGGGATTCCAAGCAGAGCAGGGATGGAAGGTGGTGATGGGACCTCCACGTCCCCTCTGTGCCAGGAGGCGGGAGGGACCCCAGGCTGCACAGAGGAGGTGGGCTGGGTGGTGTGGGAGCAAGGCATGGAGTGTCCATGGCTCCCTGCCTGCCTCCTCCGCAGACCCGCACCACGGTGAAGAAGCTGGCGGTGTCACCCAAGTGGAAGAACTACGGGCTGAGGATTTTTGGCTACATCCACCCCTTCAAGGATGGTGAGTGGTGGAGCTTGGCCTTTCCTCCCGTGCAGTGATGCGGAAAAGCTGCCTCCTTCCTCCTTCTTGAGCCACGTGAGGACAGAAAGGCTTTTGGAGACAGTCCTCAAACCGTGGCTCCCAGGGTTTTTTGGGAACAAAGACCCTTTCCCCTGGTTGTGTTGGAGGGAGGCAATGAAGCCCTGCTCCCATCCAGGACAGAGCCATCATGTGGGATTGGGCGTGGCTCCATCCCTTCTGTCCGTCCATCCGTCCATCCATCCATCCCAGTTTCCCCATCTCCCCACGAGGCGCTGGGACTGAGCCCATGCCTCCAGAGTCCCTGTGTCCCTCCGTGCCGACCCTCTCCGTGGCTCTCCGCAGGGGATTTCCAGTTTTCTGTGGCATCGGATGACAACTCGGAGTTCTGGCTCAGCTCTGACGACAGTCCCTCCAATTCCCGGCTGGCTGCATTCGTGGGCAAGGTATGTGCTGTCGGTGTCACCTCTCTGCCTTTCCCTGCTCCAGGGGAAAGGGAATGCCGGGCTATTTCAGCCTGGCCCCTTCCCTGCCCCTGGCCAGGCCTGGTTTGGCTTCCAAAGGACCATCTGCCCCTTGGCCCTATCCTGGCTGGAGCTGCCAAAGACCAGCTTGTGTCCCACAATAAGAGATTTAATGTTTGCTCCTGCATTTTCCTGGTGTCGGCTCCTACAATGGGAAGCTGGTGGGCTTTGGGGTGGTGTCCTGGTGCTCTCACGCTGCTCCTTCCTTCCCAGCTTGGCACCGAGTGGACGGCGCCGGGAGAGTTCACCAAATTCAGCTCCCAAGTCTCCAAGCCCCTGCGGTGAGTGTGTCCTTGATCCCGCTGCCCATCCCATGGGGATGGAATCAGGCTGGCGGGATTGCTGGCTCTGAGCACTGGCTCCTCCAGGGAGGAGCCTCTGGCCGTGGTCCCTTCCCAAAAGGCACGTGGGGGTCGGGCTGGACCCCAAATCCATGGTTTGAAGGTGCCGGGGGCTGCAGGTGACAAGGGGGAGACCACCTGATGTCCCCCCTGATCCCCTGAAGCTCCTCAGCAGTGGGATGGGGGAGCAGGGACCCACCTCAGCTCTCCAGGAAGGTTCACTCACCTGTGGGCAGGACAGGGAGGGTGTCCCAGGATGTCCCCTCTGTCAGGGCTCCCTGAGGGGATGTGACCTCTGTGTCCCCTCCCCTGCAGCCTCATGTCCTCCCGGCGCTACTACTTTGAGCTGCTCCACAAGCAGGACGACCGGGGCTCGGACCACGTGGAAGTTGGGGTGAGTAAATTTCCCCACGCCGGGCTCGTTCCAGGACTGATCCTGTCAAGAGCCAGTGCCAGGGCTTTTCCTGGTGTGTGTTAAAGTGCTTTATGCTGGAGCAAAGCCACGATTTTCCCCCTCCTGTGGCTGCCAGAGGCAGTGTTGCTGACTGTTTCCCTGCCTATTCCAGCCTGTGCTGGAACACATGGGCTGCTGTTCTCCTTTCCTCCTGGTAGGAGTTGAGGACCCTGCTGTCCCTCCCCTGTGCTCCCATCAGGGATGCCAAGGGAGCAGCCCCTTTGCTGCAGGCTCCAGCAGTGACGGGACTCCCAGTGTCGTGTGGCCATTCCCATCCCTGATCCCTCCTCCTTGGCCTCTGCCGAAGGGCTGGCAGAGGGGGAGGTCCCTGTGGGCTGAGCCCATTCCCGTGGGCAAGGAGATCAGGAGCAGGCAGGTCCCACCTTGCTGGCTGCATCCCGGGGTCAGCGGTGGGAGAGGTGGCCGAGATGATCGAGCGCGTCCCTGTTTTCTTTCTCCCCTTAGGAATACCATGAGTTTCAAATCTGAGCTTGCCTGCCTTGGCAGCGCAGCCCTGGCAAAGCCTGGAGCGTGTGTCAGGGGTTGGGGCTGGTGGGAGGGGAAGATGTTGGCTCGTTAGCAAAGGTTTCTTTTCTCCCAAGAACTCATTAATCACTGGAGTCAAACCCGTGCCAGCAAAGCGTCGGGGAGGCCGACAACACCCCTTCCTCGCTGGCTGCCTCCCTCCTCCCCATCCCCTCCATCCCGATAAGATCTGCATTTCTTGGGAGGGAAAACAAATAATGGGGAAAACAAATGGGGGGGGGATAGGGAGGGGGGATGTTTTTGAGATGGGATGTTTTTGCTGGAGAGAGGGAGCTAAGCCTTTCAGCCCTGCAGATAAACCTCTCAGCTGTGCACAAAGAGACAACAAACAACATCCACAACAAAAGCAGGACCCTGATGTGTCTCTCCCCGGGGGTATTGAAGGGCTTGTCCCGACAAAGGCTCCAGACTGGCTTTTAAAATGCTGGAGTTAAATCAGGGCAGCCAGCTCTGAAGACCCTCTTCAATCATGCCTTTATGAAGCACTGGAGTGAGGAGAGGTGTCCTTCCGTGGGTGGCCGTGTAGCAATCCCAGAGGGAAGCGACATGAGCCTGTATCCCGCCCCCGGGAGCCTTCCCCCCCTACAGGGATTCCTGCTAATCCCAAACCCCTTTGGGTAACGGCAGGCAATGGGGCAGGATCAGTCCTCTCCCTTGTTCCTCCTCTGCAGGGAAGTGTCTGAGGGCTGTGGACAGGGAGGACCCACCCTGACATGCCAGGGATGGGCAGCTGCATCCCGACCCCCCTGCCACCCTCCCGCTCATTCCCCTTCTCCTTTTATTTTTCTCCAGTGGCGAGTTTTCCTCCCCAGCTTGAAGTTTGAGGTGATCGACTCCTCCTACATCTCTCTGTACACAGGTAAGGGCCAGGTGCCTCCTGCAGCCACAGCCAGCAAGCTTTCCAGGGGCTGGATGTGCTGGAAGCTGGGAGAGATGGCACCAGAGCCTGGAGCCCGGGAAATTGGATCCTGGAGGGAGATCTCAGCTTCTGAACCACCTCCCCCACCCCGAGCTTTTGCAGAGTGTAAGGAGGGATGCAAGGGCTGTGGTGGGTAGGGTTGATGCTGGAAGCAAGCTGAGACTCCTAAAAATGGGATGTGGAGGCAACACACCATGGAAGCACAGCCCTGCCAGTGCTCCAGCTTCATCCCAGCTGCCAAGATCCCACTGGCTCCCGGGCCTGGCCCTGAGTTATGAGGAGCTGTCACGTAATTGGGGATGGATGGTGCAAGGTTTAATTAAATCTATAGATCTTCTGCTTCCTGCCCTCGCCCTGGCAGCAGGAAAGGGCCTGATGGATGGGTCCTGCCCCGGCGCTCCGAGTGGTCATCATTCCTGCTCTGGAAGGTGTCAATAAGGAGGAGAGGGCAGGCAGGATCCATGGGGAAAAGAGAGATGAGGGGTGCTGGTGGTGCTGATGCAAGTGCCCATGAGATGGATGACGTGCAGATAAATCCCCTTCTCCAACCGCTGTCCGTCAGCACTGGCTCTTTCCGCCTCTCTTTCCTGCTTCCCAGTTCCTGTGGATCCAGCAGCACCCTGGGGTGAAGCCAGGTCACTCATGGGGAGCCCATCCCTGTGGTGTGGGGGCTGCCAGCAGCAGGCACAGTTCCTTCCCTCCTTCCTTCCTTTGTTCCTTCCTTCGTGCTTTTCCAGGGGCTCCAGCCCAGCTTCAGCCAGCTGTAGGGGCACATTTGGGAAGCCTTTCCCTGCCCCAGGCAGGAGAAACTGGGGCTCAGGGAGGGGCTCCTGCTTCCCCATGGCTCTGCAGCAGGCAGGGCTTCGTGGGAAGGGAGCAGCCATGGGAGGCAGCTCAGAGCACGGTGACCAGAGTAGGGTGAGCTCTCGTGGGAGCCTGGGGGCTGGTGATGGCCAAGGGTGACATGGCACCCTCGTCCCTGGAGAGGAGGCAAAGCAGCTCGTGTTGCAGTTACCTGCACCTCTGCAGGGAAGGACATCCGTGGTTGAATCCCTGTGTCCTTGGGGGTTAAAGCCTGAAGTGTTCCCTTGTTTTTGGGGCTGGGTGGCCTGGCTGGGATCAGGCTGTGCCCTTGTCCTCGTTAGCTGATGCAATAATCATTAGGCTGATTAGTCACAGGGTCTGTGAGATGGCTGGGAGGGCAGCATGGGAGGGCAGCATCAGCTTCCCCGGGAGCAGGAGGAATCCACAGCGCTGGGAGAGATTGGGAAGGGCCACTGTGGAGGACACTCCCGGTGTGCCCCTGGAGCTCAGCCCCTGCCCTCTCCCGCAGATGAGTCCTCCCTGAAGATGAACCATGTGGAGCACATCCCGCAGACCTTGGCCAGCCACAGCGGGAGCCACCTCTGGGAGGCCCAGCAGGACGAGCACGGGGCCGACATGCTCAAGTCTGACCCCAGGGACACCTTCTTCCTCAGTAAGTGCCTGGAAAGGGATCCTTGCTGATTCCTGGGGGCGGGGGGGGCTCGGGGGAGGAAAAAGGCAGGACCTGGGTGCCGTGAGCACTTGGATCGTTGCTCTGCCCATCTCTTGGGCGGAGGTGTCTGCTGGGCTCCGTGGGGGGCTCGTTGGAGCGGCTTGGGAATGAGCTGCACCCACTTCTCCGCAGCCCCTGCCATTGAGGCCTCCCGTGTGGAGAACGTGCTGGTGCCCTGTGCCTACAGCCCCACCTACGTGGTGAAGGATTTCCCCATCGCCCGCTACCAGGGCCTGCAGTTCGTAAGTGTCTCCCTGCGGCGGGGACGGGGTCACGCTCCCACGGGGACACCCCAGAGCCCAGGGCAGGGGTGTTTCCAGCCGCTTAAAATCCAGGAGAAAGTGTTCCTCGCTGGAGGGCCGGGCTGAGCTTCCCCAGCCTGGCCTGAGAGGGTTGGAGTTAAAGCCCTGTGGGGTGTTTGAGGTGTTGGGGGGGCCACGGTGGTGGCCTTGGGTCCCCGACTTGGGGTGACACAGCACGGTTTCCTCCCCAGGTCTACCTCTCGTTCGTGTACCCCAACGACTACACACGCCTCACTCACATGGAGACAGAGAACAAGTGCTTCTACAGGGAATCCCCCCTCTACCTGGAAAAGTAGGTGCTCTGGACCGGAATTTCGGGGTGGTACACGGAGGGGGCTGGTGTCAACAGCACTGAGATGATGCGTCTTCAGCTGTGTGTCCCCAAGCCCTGTCCCTCTTGGAAGGGCTGCCCCAGGCTGGCTCTTTCCCCATCTCCCGGGCACGTAGCAGCTTGAGCGCTGGCAGTGCTCCCGGATTTGGGAACCCCAGCTCCCTTGGCAGCTGGCACGCTCCTCCCTTCCCGCCGGGCCCTCACCTTCCCTCTCTGTCCCCAGGTTTGGGTTCTATAAGTACATGAAGATGGATGAGGAGGAGGAGGATCCGCGGCACCGAGCGTTTCTCTTCCTCAGCCCCGACAGTGAGTCACCCCCCACCCACCCCCGGCAGTGGGATTGCCGGGCACAGGGCCGAGCTCCCAGCAGCCCGTCCGCTCGGAGCTACGGCTCATCGGGATCATCCAGCGGTGCTGGGGGCTCCAGGAGGGCAGGGCTGTGTGGAGCAGCATCCCTCCGAGCATCCTGCCTGGCTTGGCCACAGAGCCCTGTGGGATGTGGGAAGTGGGATACTTGGTTGGGATTTGCTCTCCCTGCTCCCCCAGAGCTGTGTACCCACATCTCCGGGGTTGGCCTGGGCAGTGGGCAGCAGGGACTGGACCCAGTGTGGAGTCTGGGGGTGTCCGTGGAGCCTGGGGGTGCTCGTGGAGAAGCCAGAGGCTGTTCAGAGCCTGCCTTGGTTAGTTGGCAGCTTGGCAAAGCCCTGGCAGGTCGGGTTTGCTCCCAGATGAAGTAGGATTGGTGCCAAGATGCAGCTGAGGTTTGGGGAGGGTAACAGGCATCCCCTGGTAGCCCCACTGGGCATCTCTTGGTGCCCCCAGCTCTGCTCCCTCACCTCAGCCACTCGTAGGTTCCTCTTCTGGGAACAAGCTCTGCCTCCTTGTCTTGGCCGCAGGGTGTTTATCTCTGCCTTCGCTCCCCAGATTTCCTCGAGGATGATGAGGAGGAAGGAGTGGACAGCCCTGAGCCCACAGACCCCCCTCCTGAGGCCAAGGAGCAGAGCTTTGGGCCGGCACCCGGAGCCAAAGGGAAGGATCCCCTGCCGGTCACTGGGGATTACGGAGACGACCTGGACTACTACAGCTTCCGACGGAAGCGGGGCCGGGCACGGGCCGAAGTGGGCACCCCTGGGCAGCTGGGGATGTGGAGCACCTCCAGCCCACCGGTGTCCCTCCAGGATCCCCGTGGCCAGGAGGATGCCACGCCGGAACAGGGCCCGGGACGGGCGCTCCGTTGGCTGCCCCAGGAGCCCGGCGGGGACGAGGAGGACGAGCTGGGGCTGCCGGCGTCTCCAAAGCATGGCGGGGCCCTGAGCCTCCAGCCCCACCTCTCCATGCCTATCTTTGGTGGCAAAGCCAAAACACCGGGTCCCAGCAGGCCGGCGGCTCCCAGTGAGGACAAGAAGCCCCGGAAAACCCAGGAGAAGGTCTATGTGACCCGGCTGCAGCCCGGGAAGCGCAAAGCCCCCGCCCAGGAGCCAGCCTTCCCCGGCATCTTCCTGCACCCAAAGCCTCTGAAGAGAGTCCACCTCCGCTCCAGGACCCCTCAGAAGCATCCCATTCCCCTCGGCAAGCTCCGAGCCATCCCCGGCCGACGGAGCCCCTGGCTCCTGAGCAACATCTCCAAGGAGAGGGACCCTGCCAGGCGGAAAGGTAGCAGGAGGTGGGATCGGCCGCCCAAGCAGCGGGCACTGCCCGGCCTCCTCGCCCTGGGGACTGAGGGGCTCTTCAGCAGGGAGACCCACGAAGACACAACCCCTGCCCCGGGCAGGACAGCCCCCACCGCCGATTACAACTCCTCCGAGGCCGCGCGCTCCGAGGGGACGCGGGTGACATCCTTCCTGAAGATGTCGGAAACAACGGCGTCGCAGCAGGAGGAGGGAAAGGGCCAGGAGGAGGAGGAGGAGGAGGAGGAAGAGGTGTCTGACTACTCCTACGAGGTGGGGGAGCTGCAGCAGGGCTGGCTGGAGGACTCCATCAACTGGCAGCGGACGTTCAGCGTCAGCTCCGTGGACTTCGAGCTGCTGCGCTCCGACTGGAACGACCTGCGCTGCAACGTGTCGGGCAACCTGCAGCTGAGCGAGAGCGAGGTGGTGGACGTGGTGGCCCAGTACATGGAGAGGCTCAACGAGAAGAACGGAGGGTAGGGAGGGAGCGGGGTGCCAGCAGGAGTTTGGGGGGCTGAGCCTGCGCCCCGCCAGGCTGGGCGGTGGGTCCTGGATCAGGGCAAGCGGAGCTCAGGGTGACGGGGATTTCAAGGTTTCTCCTTTCCCTGTAGCATCTACACCCTCCTGAGGATCATCAACGTGGAGAAGCGCCGGGATACAGCCCGGGGCAACCGGTACCTGCTGGAGCTGGAGCTGTCGGAGCGGGGCCAGCGCACGGTGCGGCTCTCCGAGTACGTCTACGTCCTCCTGCACCAGGGCAAGCAGGACGACAGCGCCGAGGCCAACCCCGACGGGCTGGCCCTGGGGGCCACCGAGCCCCAGCCCAGTGCCTGGAGCATCCTCTATGGAAAACCCGTCCTGTGCCGGCCCCTGCGGCTCAGCTGGAGGCAGGACGTCATGGTGCACTTCGTGGTGCCGGGTAGGTGGCAGCAGGACGAGGTTTGCCCGGGGAAGGGGGTGCTCTGGGAGCCACCCCGCTGTGAGCCTGAGGGCCGTGTCTCTGGCAGTGAAGAACCAAGCCCGGTGGGTCCAGCAGTTCATCTCGGACATGGCCGGCCTCTACGGGGCTACGAGGGACGCCAACTTCAACGTCATCCTGGTGGACTTCGACAGCGAGGACATGGATGTGGAGAAGGCCCTGCAGGACGCCCGGCTGCCCCGGTAACCCCCCGCACGGGTCCTGGCCTGCAGCCTCGGGGGGTCTGCGGGGCTTCCCACGGTGGGACAGGTGCTCACACAACCTGCTGCTCCCTCCCCACCCGCACAGCTCCTTCCCTCCTCCTCATTTTTGGGCATTCAAACTAGTTTTCCGCACGGAGTTGGGGGTTCAGCAGCCTGTGACTCTGCAGGGGGACCCTTGGTGTGAGCTGTAGCACCTGGCCCTTACTGAGAAGGCCCCCTCCCCACGCTGGTGGTCCCTGTCCCCCTCCTGGCTGTGTTCCTGTCTGTCTCCAGTGCTACCTGCCCTGTCCTCTCTCCCCAGGTTCCAGTACCTGCGGCGCACTGGGAATTTCGAGCGCTCAGCTGGGCTCCAGGCCGGTGTGGACATGGTGGAGGTGAGCGGGGACAGGGACCAGCTCTGGCAGTGGCTTCTCTCCTGGGGCTGTTGTGCCTTGATTCCTCCCACCTGTGTCTGCCCCTCCCATAGGACGAGCACAGCATCGTGTTCCTCTGTGACCTGCACATCCATTTCCCACCCAACATCCTGGACAGCATCCGGAAGCACTGCGTGGAAGGGAAGCTGGCCTATGCGCCCATCGTCATGAGGCTGAGCTGTGGCAGCTCCCCCCGGGAGCCCAACGGTGCGTTGATCCTCACCCAGGACCCCTTTCCAGCCGGGGAACATCCCCTGCCCACCCAAGGGCGCTGCGGTGCAGGGTTTGGATACAGCCGGGCTCGGATGTGGGGGAGAACGGGATTGCTTTGCTCGGGCAAGGTGGGATTCAAGCCCAAGGGTGCTCGAGGTGTGCTGGGTGTGATGCTCCTCAAAACGGGGCTGTCACCCAGAGCACCCCTTCGGGAGGTGGCAGTGAAGGGGGTGGACTCGCAGTGGGAAGAAGGCTTGGGATGGGGAATCCCCATGGCTCCCAGGTGCTGGGGAGAGCACAGAGGAGATGCTGTGGGCATTTGGGGGTCCCCTCCACCTCTCACCTTGTTGCTCCCCCCACCTCCAGGCTACTGGGAGGTGAACGGTTTTGGCCTCTTCGGCATCTACAAGTCGGACTTTGACCGCGTGGGAGGGATGAACACGGAGGAGTTCCGGGACCGCTGGGGCGGGGAGGACTGGGAGCTCCTGGACAGGTGAGCGTGGGGGTCCTGCAACCCCTGAGCCCCCAGGGAGCAGGGTCAGCCATCTATGGGCCACATCCCTCTGTCCATCCATCCCTGAGCTGCATCCCTCCGTCCATCCATCCCTGAGCTGCATCCCTCCGTCCATCCATCCCTGAGCCCCGTCCCTCTGTCCATCCATCTCCTGAGCTGCATCCCTCTGTCCCTCCATGCCCTGAGTCCTGTCCCTCTGTCCCTCCATGCCCTGAGCCCCGTCCATCCGTCCCTGAGCCCCGTCCCTCCGTCCATCCGTCCCTGAGCCCCGTCCCTCCGTCCATCCGTCCCTGAGCCCCGTCCCTCCGTCCATCCGTCCCTGAGCCCCGTCCCTCTGTCCATCCATCTCCTGAGCCCTGTCCCTCCGTCCATCCATGCCCTGAGTCCCCTCTATCCATCCCTGAGCCCCGTCCCTCCCTGAGCCCTGTCCCTCCGTCCGTCCCTCCCTGAGCCCCGTCCCTCCGTCCGTCCCTCCCTGAGCCCTGTCCCTCCGTCAGTCCCTCCCTGAGCCCCGTCCCTCCGTCCGTCCGTCCGTCCCTCCCTGAGCCCCGTCCCTCCGTCCGTCCCTCGTCCCTCCCTGAGCCCTGTCCCTCCGTCCGTCCCTCCCTGAGCCCTGTCCCTCCGTCCGTCCCTCCCTGAGCCCCTTCCCTCTGTCCATCCATCCCCTGAGCCGCATCCCTCTTGTCTGTCCGTCCCTGAGCTCTGTCCCTCCGTCCGTCCATCCCTGAGCCCCGTCCCTCCATCCACAGGGTGCTCCAGAGTGGGCTGGAGGTGGAGCGCTTGCGCCTCAGGAACTTTTACCACTACTACCACTCCAAGCGCGGCATGTGGAACGCCCGCAGCAAGAAGCCCTCCAAGGAATAGCCCCCGAGCCCGGCCCGTAGCCAAAAAACCCCGGTGCCCCCCTGCCCCCGACTGCCACACCCCGGTGCTGGCAGGAGGGCACCCCAGCACCCACTGCAGTTATCCTGGGGAAGGGGGAGCGGGGAGGGCCGAGGTGGGTGGTGTTTGTTTTCTTAAGGGTCTAATTTCTTAGTCAGCAACGAATTTATTAACTCCTTTGTGCTGGGACAGCGGGTCTCGGGGGGCTGGGCCGGGTTCCAAGGGGCTGTGCTGGGTCCTGGGAGGCTGTGCCAGGCTGGGGATGATGGAAGTGGAATAGTGGCACCCAGGGTCCCCACTGGAGCTCACTTTGCAGCCCCTTTCCTGTTGTTGTCCCTCTCAAAATACCAAGTACCTCATCCCTATGTCAGGCTGGGGAGCTGAGCCTTGGGGGAGCTGCCGGTACCCACAGGTATGAGGGGGCTCTGAACCCACTGGGGCTGCCCTAATGCTCCTGCTCCCCTTCCAGGACCTGTGGAACCCCTGTGGAGGGAAGGAGGGTCTGGCTGTGCCCTGCATTTGGGGACACGATGTGGGTGGGGGGCAGAGCCCCAGGGGAGGCTGGGCTGGGGTGGGGATAGGGCAGAGCCTGCAGCAGGTACGGGCAGATGACGTTTCCAAGCTAATTTCTGTGAAATTATAAGGTAGGAAGCTGTTTTCAGGAAGTTTTGTCTGTTTGGGTTTGGTTTTTTTTTATTCTTAAAAAAATAAAATCAATGTCTTGGCTGGGATTTCCCTCTGCTCCATCATCCCCACACCTGGGCGGGGTTGCCGGTTGGCCTCTGTCCCTTGGTCCCTAAGGGTCCCCTCCCCGTGGTGAGAGCAGGCAGCAGCCGTTCTGTGCTGGGAGGAGGAGGAGGAGGAGGAGGAGAAGGAGGAGGAGGCACCCTGTTTAATGCCCACATGCCCGGGCTTGCTGAGCCTCCACCCCACACCTGGGCTCCACCCGGGCAGCCTCCGGCACCCCACAGGCTCCATGGGGGGCTGCCCTGGGCAGGGCAGCCAGGGGGGAGCCACGAGTGGCTCCGTGTGCTCCTGCCTGCTCTGGCACACTTGTCCGTGCCCGCCGGTGCCCCAGCTCTGCGCTGGTGCTTCCCCGTGGCCATGCCTGGCTGTGGTGGCACCTCGGGGGTTCTGTTGTGTCCCACCTACCACGGGCTCCAAGTCACCCTGTCCCCCCAGATCCCCTGGGCTGCTCCCCTGGGAGAGCTGAAACAGCCTCGGAGTTTCCCCCCGAGTGTTTCATTCCCCCACATCCCCCGGGCTCGCTCGGAGCATCCCCAGAGTCTGGGGTGAGGGTGGACATGGGGGCCTCAGCCACCCACGTGCCATCAGCAAACAGCTGCGGTCTGTGGGCTTTTGATCCCGGATTCGGTCCCTGTGGCCCCAGGATCTGCCAGGAGGGGACTGTCCCGGCAGGCAGCGGTTGTTTCCCCTCTCCTTGCCCTGCTCCCGGTTTTTTCCAGCACTTTGGAAGCGCTTTGTTGTGGGTGAGGGCTGTGCCTGCTGCGCCGGGAGCTGGTCTGTGGCTGGGCGAGAGCGGGTGGCCCCGTGGCCCCCCAGGCCACCAGTTGCATCCCAAAACCTGCCTGGCCTTAGGCACAGCTTTTCCAGCAGCTTCCCAGCCGGGAGAGCTCCAAAAGCCACCAGCATCGGAGCGGGCACTAGGCCCAGCCAAACCCAGAGCTGCCGCTGGTGCTGGGAGGGACTGGTGGCACCAGTGCCATCCCCACTGATGCTGGGGACGGTTTGGGGCCGGCTGATGGTGTCTGCTTGGGGCAGGGCCAGCAGCACAGCACCGGAGGGTTTGTTTCTCAGGTGGTGGCTGAGCTGTGGCTATGGGATGACACAGGGATCACGGGGATTGCAGGAGCCACAGGGAGCCTCTCCTGGGCTGGGTCTTGAAGCCCCAGGTGACAGCGGGGTGCAGGCAGGTCCCTACTCCTGGAGGATCAGCCCTGGCTCTCCCTGCCCTGTGGGGACACTGCAAAAGCGTTGGTTTGTCCAGGGTGCAGAGGCAAATGCCAGCCTGGAGTGGCCTCACCGAGGGGCTGCTCCCCCACCAAAGGGGTTGTGGAGGGCGGAGGGAGCACAGGAGCCTCCCAACAGCCCCTGGCTGAGAACAGGCTACACGTGGCAGCAGTGGCTGTGTGGAGGGTCCTGGCAGCCTCCAGCCCTGGGCCAGGCACTGCCAGGGGTCCCCTCTTGGCAGCCCCCGGCGAGTGTGGGGTGTGGTGGGGGGACCTGCGCCACGGTGCTGGGGTAAGTGGTGGCCCCCAAACTGGTTTGGCCCGTTTCAAATGCTCCCTCTCAGCTTATCTGGCTTCAAAGGGCTCCTGCTCCATCCCACGCACACAAACACGCTCCCTGCAAACCTGGGGGAGCCCCCCTGCATCCCAAAAAATCTGTGTGCCCCCCAGGCTCTACCTCCCCTCCATCTTCTCCCTCCGGCACCCCCGATCCCTCCCCGTTGCACCAAGGGGTGGCCCGTGCTGGGGATTCCCGGGGATGAGGTGAGAAGGACACGTTGGATCACGGCCATGGTGGCGGTGGGGATCCACGGGGGCTCTTTACAGCACCGTGAATGTGGCTGAGACGCGGCTGCACTGGCGGGGCCAGGACCCCCGGACCCTCCACCGGCACTCCCGCTGTGCCGGCGGTTGTGAGGAGCCACGGCGAGCCCCGAAAGCCCAGCCTCGGTGGGGAGGCGAGCAGGTTCCATGCAAAACCTCGGCGAGGAGACTGGTTGGGCGAGGTGCGGGGCGGGCCCCGCGCACCCCACGCCCGCCGCAGACGCCGGCGCCCACCCGCACCCCTCTGCAGCACCCAGGGGTGCACCTGCCTGCCGGGAGGATGCTGCAGGGCAATGGCCCCTCGGGGCCGCCCAGCCAGGTACGTGCCAGTCGGTCGCGTGGCCATCGCAGTGGCCGTCCCCACCGCGGGTCCCCGGGGAGAGCCGGTGCCACCCACCCTGCCACCCGTCCCCACCCACCGGTGCCAGGGGTCTGGGGCTCCAGCAGCCGCCAGACTCTGTCCAGCTGTGGCCAGGAGGCTTTTCCCTCCCTCCTCGTGCCTCGGTGTCCCTGGTGTGGCTCCTGGCACGTGCGTGCGGTGGCCGGGCTGCGTGTGAGCCACGCCGGCCACTCCCTGCCCAAACGCCGATGGCACCGGCGGGCACGGCCAGCCCTGGGGGACCCGGGCGTGGAGATGGGTGCTCGGGGGTGCTCAGGGGCCGGGGGGGAGTGGGAGAGGATGCGGCGCTCCCAGGAGCTGGGTCTCCCTGGGAACGTGGCTTTGTCACCCCACGAGGGAGTGACAGAGGTGCCTCCAGGCTGAGGGAGGGTCAGCAACAGCCTCAAGGACGCCCCGACTGAGTTTGTTTAACTCTGTATCGCTCTGGCTGCGGTCGGATCCTCTCGGGAATCCCTCGGTTTAGCTCTGAATGTCTTGCGTTGTTTTTTTGGTGGGTTTTGTTATGGTTTTTTTTGGTTTGTTTTTTTGTTGCTGTTGTTTGGTTGGTTGGTTGCGTTTTGTTTGTTTGTTTGTTTTGTGCCGATTTGCTGTTTTTAAGTCCCTTGGTGCATCCCCGTCCCGTTCGACCCTTCCCCACTTAGGGAGCCGCTTGAGGAGGCGAGCGCTGCCCGTTCCGGCTCCAAACCTGCCCCAAACCCCCCGAGACCCCCCAGTTTCCACCTGGAAGCTGCAGGGTATTGTCAGGAGGTAGAGCCGGGGAGAGCGGGGCTGCCAGTGGGCTTGTGGGTGTCCCTGAGTCCCCTTTATCCCCCGGGGCTGGGGGGGCTCCCGGGATAGCCCCGATCTCCCGGGATCCTGGCACGGGGAGGGCGGGCAAGCGTTGGCTTGCAGAGGGAGCGACCCGCCCCCTCCCCGCCCGCTGCGGGGGGAACCCGTGATTCATCCGGGCTCGGAGCGCTGGGAGCGCCCGCCGAGCTCTGCCAAGCCCGGTGCGCCCGTGGGGCGGTGCCGAGGTGGGAGAAGAGGGGGGAGCCTCGGGGTTCTTCCTGCGTGCTGTACCCCAAAAGCGTCAGCGGTGACCCCTGAGCGAAGGGGGGCCCGCACAAACCCGCGAGGCTGGAGACCCCCCCGCAGACGGGGAGGTGGGTCCCTGGCACGACGGTGGCACTGAGAGGGTTTTGGGGAGGCCACCAGGGGACTGTCACCCCAAAACGCTGGCCCGCAGCTCTTGCCACCCCGCCCCAGCCTCGGCTCCTGCTGACGGCGGCACATTCCTCGGGGACAAGCCGCCCTTTTCACCCCCGACCGAAGCGCAAACCTGGTGTCATCCGCCGGGTGTTGTAAAGCCGGCCCAGCCCGGAACGCGGTGACGCCAAGCGCTGAGCCAGGGCTGGCTGTGCAGCCGGGCCCGCGTGGCCACGCTCGCCCCAAACCGCCCGGCCCGGCCGGGGACGAGCCACCGTGTCCCCGAGCAGGGGCAGAGCCGCTGCCTACCCGGCCGCGGCTGAGAACGGCCGCAACTCAGGGCAGGGATGAGCAGCTCGGTCAGAGAGCTGGGGCTGCGGTGGGAGGGCGGCGTGACCTGACACTGCGGGAGGGGGGGATTTGGGGAGCTGATCCTGAGCGCGCTGGGCTGTGGGGGAACGCGGTGGCCCCCAGTCCGGCCGTGCCGGGCTCGGCAGGTGGGGTGAGGCTAATTAGTACCTGTGGTGGCAGCAGGGGCTGAGTCACCGCGTTCGTCACCGCGGGCCCGCGGCGCCCAGCCGCCCCTTTTTTATTATTGTTGTTTTTTAATTCCCCGGCTGATTTGAAAAGCAAAGCAGGGAGGGCCTGGCCAGGAATTCCTGCAGGGAGACCCTGCTCCGGGCTGGCCCACAGTACCCAAGGGGCACCCGGGGGCTTGGGGTCCTTGTGGGGCTGCTGAGGGGTTCAGGGTGACCCTGGAAAGTGGCTCAGGAGTCTGGGGGTGCCTGGGGAGGATAACTGGGGTTTAGTGATGGGAGGTGCGGGGCTGGCTGTGGAGCTTCCTGGGAGTGCAGGGCTCTTCTGGAAGGCCATATGGGGGTCTGGGGCTCGTTGGAGGGACAATGCAGGGGTCCAGAGCTCTACAGAGAGGTCATATGGGGGTCCAGAGCTCTCCTAGGAGGTTCCCTGGGGATCTCAAGCTCACTGGAGGGACAATGTAGGGGTCTGGAGCTCAGTGTCAGGGCCATGTGAGTCTCTGGGCGTTAATGGGAATGTTGTCTGGGACTCTTCTATGAGACCATGTGAGACTCCAGTGCTCACTGGAGGGACAGTGTGGGGGTCTGGGACTCAGTGTCAGGGCCACATGGATCTCTGGGGATCAACAGGGGGGCTGCTGGGGGTCCAGGGCTCTCCTGGGAGGTAAAGGAGACAGCTACCCGAGGGGATCCTGGCTTTTCCCAAGGTACGACCTCCCCCCAGACCCCTGGACCACCCGCCTCTCTCACGCCCTCGTCCCCGCAAGGTCACCCCTGGGCTCCTCCACCTGCGGCTGTGCCGGTGGTGCCGCTGACGATGGTGCCGGTGGCCCCGGTGGGGCCCCCTCCTTCCCGCCGGCGGCGGCGGCGAGGCGTGGCAGCGGGGCGGGCCGGACGGGCCGGGACGGAGCCTCCCTAGGGCTGGGGAGCGCTGAGCCGCCGCTCACCTGCGCAGGGCGGCCGGGCTGGCCGGGGCCCCCCGCGCCGCCGCCATGCAGGAGACTAACGCCTTCCTGCTGTCGGCCCTGCA